TGTGCCGGGGCATGCCCCTTCCTTTTGCTGGTCGGGGAAACCAGCCGCAGGATCAGCCATAGCGGGACCCCCCCCCACCCCCCCAGTCACTGACTATCTGCTGGGGGGGCAAGTGCCCCTCACCCCCTGACTCAGGAGGCATCACTTGCCCATGGCCAGAGCAGTGGTTTGGATGGTTGAGGGGCTAGCTCCCCATTTCAAGTTGGTGAGCTTATATAGACTGTTGTTACAAATTGTCACCTTGGTTTTTGTCTTTGTGCTGTGTTCTTTATACAAGAGGGTTTGATTGAGGGTGACTCTGAGGTAAACAGGATTTGGGCAGTGGGATGGCCTCAGACTATGTAATGTTGAGCTGGCGATTGGCCTCGTGGTTTTTCAGATGGAAGGCGCATATTTGTATTTTCTCTGGAATGGTGTGTAATTGGTTTTCAACGTAGTATGAGGTTAGGCCAATTTGCGCCTCACTTAGGGATTTTTCAAAGCCAGTTTTTGGTCTATTATACACAGTTTGTCTGCAGAGATGAAACATTTTGTTTCCAAACCAACTGGCTGATCATTCGTATAGCTAATATATAACAGTGGGACAAGTATACCTCCTTGGGGGAGGACATACATCTGTTAACCCCATCTGCTTCACTTCCCATCCAGTTTGACAAAAAAAAAGTCTGTTTTTGAGCAGGGTTCATACCAGCTCTGTAAAGTATAAATATTTTGTCATTCCCACGGTAGGGTCTTGTGGAGGAGTCATCGGTGGTTAACTGGTGGCTGTTAGGTTGATAAATACAGCTCCAGTGATTTGGCCACTTTCAAAACCATCCTTAATATGTTGAGTTAAATTGAGCAGCTGGCTCGCTAATTTTCCACAATGAAAGCTGCTCTGTTTAGGGATTAGGTGTTTATCCACATATGGGGCAAGCTGGTTCAGTATCAGTCATTCATACAATTTGTATGTATGACATAGCATAGATAGGTCTGAAGCTGTTTGAGTCATTCCCTGGCTTTAGAAGTGTCACTCCCTGAGCATGATGCCATATCTTTGGAATTTTTTGACTGGCTGTGCACGAGTTGTATAGAGAGGGGAGCCATTCTCAAGTCTGGTGTCCAAATTGATTGACTTGTTTGGTAAGTATGTTGTTAAGGCCAGCTGCTTTCCCGGTCTTCAGTGCATTGATACCAGCATTCAACTCTGTCACTGAGAAGGGGCTTGTAAAACCCAGGTCTTTGGGGTGCTTGTACCTTTCCAGTCTGAGTTTTTTTCATTTGTTTTTGGTTTTGGAGCTTTTTCCATTGAGAAGCACCTGGTGAGCAATTTGGTTAGCAGTGACATTATGAAGTTCTACCTTTTGTGGGTCATTGGTCAGTTTACGTATTGTCATCCATGCCTTTTTACTATTAGGAGTCATATCAGTTGACTCAATGAGGGTCTGCCAGGATTTCCTGCATTCTTCTGTGATGGCTAACATGAACTCCCTGCCTGTAGCTATGGTGTTTGTGGGAAAAGGCTGTAGTTCATACTGTTGCCTGTAGTCTTCATATAGGCCAGTGATTTCTGGAGTCATGCCTGAGACATAATTCTTGCACTAGCCCCACAGATGTTCTTTCTTGTAGCTTTCTGTACAGCTTTTATAAATTGGTCTTAGTTCTCCGGCAATGCTTTGATGGTTTTGACTGTGGCATCAAGGTATTCTGAAAAGCCTTTCCAGTTTGCCTTTTTAAGGTTGAAACATTGGCAAAATGGCACTGTTAAAGGTGTTACTGAGGCTTTGATCTGAATGCCAATTGGTTGATGCTAGGATGTGGGATGGAGTCTAGTAACGTTTTATTACTTAGCCCAGTGATGGTGTTGCCAGTAAATATAAGGACCGAGTTGTATCTTCATTTCCAGGGGCCACTGTTGAATGATTTAGGTAGCTTTGGGTCATGAATCAAACTCAGCTGATATGCATCCGACCAAGCTTCTACTACTTTGCTGGCTTTATTGGTCTCACTGTAGCCCCATTGCGTGCTGTGGCTGTTAAAGTTGCCAGTGATCACCTGTGGTTTATTCTGAGTGATACCTGGTGTATCTTTAAAGGTGAAACTCGTGTTAGGTGGTTTGTAGACTGAAGTGATTGTAATTCCATTGAGTTCAACGGTCAGGATTTCATTGTTGTTTTCTTCAGTCTTTCCTGTAGAAATTATGACTGTTCCAGATGTGGCAAATATGGCACTTCCAGATTTCTTGGGTGGTCTTTCAATTGCCATAGTCATTCCAGGTATTGAAGGACAGTTATTATGAGGCCCTTGGTGTGTCGCTTCTAAGCACAAGATATCATGCCGGACTTCCGTACATAGATTTACAATTAGTTCTTTTTTCACCAGTGAAAACCCTTCAGCCCTCTGCGGACAGTATTGTTAATGCTGGCCCTAAGGAGGGCTCATGTCTACTTTGGTCATACGGCCAAACTGATTGGTTGTAACTGACTGGTTACATTGGTCAATTTAACCAACCGACTGGCTACTGACTGGTTACATTGGTCAATTTGCAGGGACAAAATTGTGGTTTGTTGTGTTAGCAGAATTTCCAGGTGTTACCTGACACATCATATCAATCACATTACCCTCCTACCTTTGAGTCCCTTTGTTCTGGCACCAACGAAAGCCCTAAAACTCCTTATAGCTATTCATCCCACGGTTTTCTCTACACTGGGGGGAGGCAACCGCCGGCATGGGTGGCAGAGCATGGCATGTGAAGGCATTTTGCTTGGCATGCGCCCCTCAGGGCAGAAAGCAGGGAAGAGGCTAGGGTTGCACTACCACAAAGATCAGGCCCCTTGCGGCTTCCCTGCTGCCCGCCCCTGGCACACCAACATCTTACAAGTCGAGGTTGCGGGTGTTTTTGGCATTCTCCCCAAAAACAGTGCCAGCCCCAGCTCTACACGTAGGGCAGCTTCACCTCACTCGCTAAGGCATTGCCCATGTCCCTCTGGGGTCCCCTCCTGCCTGCACCTCCCTGCTCAGCCCTGGGGCTTTAGCCACATGCTTGACAGCAATGCCCAGGCAAGGCACCCGCTGCCCTGAATGAGGGGCAGCCCCCAAATCACTCCCCCCCACACACAGGGGGTCCCGCCCTCCCTTCCCCCATCAGGCTACGCGGTAGCAATCCCTCCTCATGAGCAGGGATCCTGGTTTTCTCCGATTAAAAATAAATCCCCGGTTTTTGGTTAAAAAAAAAAAAGGAACCCCAAATCCACATTAAATTGAAACTTCACTATATATCTTTATATAGTTATATCAGCAGGTCCCAGTCTGTGGTGGGGGTACCACCAGTGGTACATAGACAACCTGTCAGTGGTACACATTAACAGACTTATTATAATTACTTTATACGACAAAAATGTGTTGGTGGTACTTAAGGTTGTATCGTTTTAAACTGGTGGTGCGCCATCTGTCAGTTTGGGAACCGCTGATCTATATATTAGTGGCGTTTCACTTAAATCACGGGAAAATACGGGTTTGGGGTCACTTTTTTTTAAAACGCAAAGTGTGGGGTTTTTGTTTTTTTTTAATCAGAGAAAACCAGGATCCCTGTTTTCAGTTTAAAAAAAAAAATCTCAAATCTACGTTTTTCCGTGCTTAAAATGAAACATCAGCTATATACCTATATATTTGTGGCGTCTCACTTAAATCACGGGAAAATGTGGATTTGGGGTTTGTTTGTTTTTTTAAACTAAAATTGGGGATTTTTTTTTTTAATCAGAGAAAATGAGGATCCCTGTTTTCGGTCAAAAAAAAGTAACCCCAAATCTACATTTATCCATGATTAAAATGAAGCATCACTCTCTAGATAGGTAGATCGAATAATCTCTCTATATCTCTATGTATATCTATAAACATCGATATCTAGCTCTATAGACATCGATCTCTCTCTCTATATATATCTATATATAGATATCTATAGCTATATAGAGAGAGAGATCGATGTCTACAGAGAGAGAGATGGTGTTTCATTTACGTCCGGGGGGACGGGGATTTGAGGTTACTTCCGTACCTGACCACTGGGGACGTTTGTGACCCCGGCCGCGCTCCCGCGGGATCTGCCGCCCCTCCCCCCACCCCGCGTATGCCACGCCCTGCCCCCACAAGCCGGAGGCTGGTTGTCATGGTGACCCCAGGCAGCAAAGAGGCTGCTGATTGGCCGAGAGGCGGAGCCCAATAGCGGGCCGCGGTGTTAGTGGAGTGTCAAGATGGCGGCGCGGTAAACACGGCTGGTGAGCGCGGCGCGGCGGGGGCGGCCGGGTTTGGGGCAGGCTGCGGTGGGCGTCAGATGGCTCCTTCCTGGGGCTGCGCTGGGAGGAGCCCCCGGGCATGGGGCGGCGTCTCGTCCTCCGGAAGCCCTGCCGAGAGCTGCGTTTGTCCCGAGGATGCGCTCGTGAAGGGGGGGTCAGGTAAAGGCCGGTCCTGGCGTGTGGTGGGGAGCCCCGAGGAGCGGAGACCTGGTGCGCGGGGTCTTACCCTGCGATCCCGGAGCTGGAGGGTTGGGGCCCGTCACTGACACCTTCTCCAGGGTCTGCAGACAACAGCGCTGGGATGATCTGCCAGAGCCTGGAGCAAGTGTGTGCCAGTAGTGGCACCATGGGACTGATTCCTGCTGCTCCCCCCGGGGGTCGGGGGGGGGTATATATAGACACACACACACATTTTCTTTTACCACAAAAAAGCGCGTCTGTTAGGGGGGGTGATGCCCGTTTCGGGTAGGGTCACATGCGCAGTCAGCAAGGAGGGTGTTTCTGACATCCTTTTGCTCCTGTCTTGTCCTGGTGCTGTTTCTCTCTTCTCTTTCCTCTCCCTTCTCCCCCCCCCACCCCGCTCTTTTTCTGAAGACTAGAGCTCAGTTGGAAGGAAGCTTCCTATTCACTTTTCAGGTAGACTCAAAGTATCTGGGACCTAATTCTGCTCTCAGAGCAAAATAGGTTTACGAGATTTCAGTGCTCAAGACTCGGAAGTAGAAGGGGATCTGGTCCTGCCGTGACACAATCTATCTTTGCATGTCGTATTTTTCAGGGAGATGCATGAGGCCATGTTTTAACAGCGAGTGCAAAAGCCAATATAGATTTTAAATGCTCATTTTCCAAATTTGGCTGTATGCATTTTAAACAGAAATCCTGTCCTTGGTATGCCTCAGAATTTGTCTAAAGTGAGCATCTTCCGAACTGTAATGGTTTCGTTTTCTAGAAATAGACATTGTCATATTGTTTAAATGAAAAAGTGAGTTGTTTTTGTCTGTCCTGTTTATCCAAAACAGTTTTTAAAATGCTTGAGTGTAAGCTGTCCTTGTTTACGAGAGTTAAGATGTTCGGCATTCATTCTACTAAGCTTGCCTAAATCACTTAAAACTCATCTCATGGAAGTAAGATTACTTTTTCTTCTTGTCAGAAGTGTTTAAACTATTTGTAGTGCTGTATATCATTATTTCTAAATCGCTGTTCTTCAGCAGACTAGCTGTATTTTTAGCTCCAGATTCTAGGTAAATTCACGTGACGTTTTTGGTGTCTTGCTCTTGTTTAGACTAGAAGATGTGGAGTGGACTTTTACCACCAGGTGTGAATGAAAGTGATGCTGACTTGAGCTCTGATGATGGAGATGCAGCAGATGGTCCTGCATTGTGCACAAAGGATGATAGAGAAGAGGCTGTCAAAGGAATTCAGTTTTCTGATTTCCAGATAGATGGACCTGAAAGTACTTCTGTATCAGTGACAGATGAAGAAAATGCACGTCAGCCATGCCCTTCTGGAATTTCTTTAAATATGTGGAATGTGGGTATGATTAGATATTTCTAAATGTCCAAAATATAAGTGTAACGTACTCCAGTGTTGCATAGATAATATTTATTCAGTATGACATATTTTATAAACATTTTTATAAGTATTGAGTGAAAATATTTGAATTCAGATATTTTATCTTTAATGTGTAGGACAAATACAAAGCAGTTTGAATAAAATGTAATCTGTGACCTACTAGAAATAAGTTAAGCAAACTGTTTTGAGGGACTTTGAGGGGGTTTTTAACACTTTTTTTCCTTTGCTTTCTTAGCTGATTGGTAAATTGAAGGGTAGAGGAGAGAAATAATGTAGGCACAACAGATTCATTAGTTAGTTTTTTGTTTGCTTTGGAATCCTGGCATCTGAAATACTTTTTCAACTGTATTTTCTTTTTTAAGACTAGCAGTTAAGCATATGTCTAATTTGCATAATAGGTCAGACCTATTTAGCAAAAATTGTGCATCCTTAAATTCCATTTTAAACTGTACCATTCACTATCAAAATGTAATTGGATTACAAAACCTTTTTTGTGATTTGCGCATCAGAGAAGACTGAATATATCATGCTAATGAGCTCTGACCAGTCTACATTGTTGCTTAACAGTGGGGTTAGAATTCTGAATAAGGATTGGTAAAAACAAGTGTGTAATTTCAATCCATAGCTATAGGTAGTCATACAAGGCATTTGCTGCCAATCATCCTTGGATGACAAAGCACTAGCCAAACTGAATATAGAAGACTGTGAATTGCTCACTGTTATACCTTTGATATATTTAATGTTGGTTGTGCATTTTATGAAAAAACAAACTTGTGAGAATGTTCTGAAGAACTGGGGGGATTAAAGTAAAGGCACTAGGAGGTTACAGAGATTATGCAGGGATGAAGATCAGGGTTAGTTGTGTGTAACATTTGCAACTCAATACCAGCAGAACTGACTTTCACAGTATATAAAGGTCCCCATAGTAGATACTGAGACTTAAAAAACCAAATGAGAATTTGAGTAGCATTTTACAATACTTTTTGCTTCACCAAAAAACCCAAATATTTGGAGTTTGCTTTTCTTTCTTCCCACAGAAATTTGTGGAGCTGCAGAAGAAAAAATGTCAAATGAAAGCCCAAGCAAATGACAGACAGAAGGGGAAAAAAAGAAAATGTTCCAGAAAAGGTGTTTTGGGAGAGTTAATATAAATGCATTTTGGTTTGATAAAGCCAGTTGAAAATACTGTATTATTTCAGTAATTGTAAGACAGCTAGAGGACAACATTCATGACACTTACTGTGTCAATGACGATACAGGGTTTTTTTTGACTGAATTGTGAGAACTGGGCACTGAAGGGAGAGATTGGCCTGTGTTATGGGATAGGGGATGGGGAGTGGCTACTAAGGAGTACACAGTTAGCTGCTGGGGTCTAACAGTTACATTTATATGATCCTGTAGTGATACAAATTAGGTAGATTACCCTAACTTGGACCCTAAAAGACCAGGATTTAGATTGGAATAGCTCTGTTACACTTACTATGGAATCATAGTTAATTGTATCACCTTTTAAAGAATACTGATATTGTTCTGAACCAAATCAATCATCGCATCTATTATACCCTGTTGGCGTGTCTCCGTGAGCACGCACATGTGGTTTGCAGTGCCTCAAAGCAATTTAAGGTGCAGCACATGGCATGTGGTGCCCGTACACTTGTTCACTGCACTGCCAATTTGCAGCATGGTGGGTCTTTTTGACATCGGGAGGTCCCAATGTCAAAAAATCCCCACCAGTATAAAAAGCAGTGTGATGCATGCAGCAGCAGCATGTGCAGCTAGAAAAGGAGCCCGGCTGGCTAGAGCTATGCTCTGACTGCCAACCATGCTCTAAGCAGCTGGGTTGGCACTACTGCTGCTTTGGGAGGACCCCAGGTAAGGCTGCTGGAGACAGCACAGTTGCTGGCCCCAGCCTCTCCTACCTCACACGGGTCACGTTGCTGTGCGTGTTCAGTGGTGTGCCTGGGGACAAAAAGCAGCGGCACAGATGTGTTATGCAATTTGTCCTGCAGGAAGCACATGCTTCTACACATGTGCTTCCTATGTGTTTACTTAAAAAGTACCTTTACACTTTCTTCAGTTATGAAGATGTTCAACATAATTCAATTAATGTTGATTTATCAAGATTACCAGTTAAGCATGTGTGAGTATTTCTTGGAATCACTTCTGGTTTTTTGCTTTCTGATCAGAATCATCTGTTCACAGATACTGTGTAAACTCTGTTTGTGAGAACTTCTTCCACTGAGTAGAATTTTATTAGCTTACCTCAGTCTACATGCTGACCATGTCTACACAAGATGCTGACTGTGCAGTAGAACCACGTAACATGAAGTTTGATGCCGTGCTACTGTGTGGTAGTAATGGGCTAGTATTCAGTCAGTGTCACCTAAAAGCCATTCGGTGACACTGCTGCACAGTCAGCGCCTTGTGTAGACACAGCAACTGAGCACTAATGCCCCAATCCTGCAAAGAATCTCTGCCGAAACAGAATACCATTGAGTTCAGTAGAAATCTGCATAGGACAATCTCTTTGCATCATAAAGATTAAAGAAAAGGAAACTACTGAACTGTACTGAATTCATCTCCTGTAATGATTTGCACTGGAAGTCTCTTAATATTTTTAAAATACAAAATGAGATTGCTTTATTTTTTTTCCAGAAAAACTGAAAAAGAAGGATAAAGGAGTGACTGAGAGGTATAAATATGTCACTGTAATTATCTAAAGCTTGGGTTTTATTTCCTCCTTTTTTTTTTAATGGGATGCTGCCAGGTAGAATGGGTACAGCAGTTTGACCAACCTTAGTGCCAGCTACTGGCTTTGGACATAGTTATGTAGTTTGCACTGAAATTAGCTAGTTTCTTTTGTGGGAAAACTAATTTGATCCCTAAAATTCTTTGAGAGCAATTATCTTGTGATTTATGTACATACTTGTATATGAATTAAGATGGGGAAGAGGCAGGTTAGGTTATGTTTAAGCCTGTGGCTATGAAGCCTTGTCTTCAGTGACTTTCAGTGTGTAATTAGTCACATGTGAAACTACTTGCAGGATTGAGGCTTTACATTGTTCTGGCACATACTGTGAAGTGAACAAAAGCAACAATTAATTGAAATTTAGGTTGTTTCTGAGGGCAGCATCTGCCAGATGAAGGACAAATTGGGTCCGAATAGTTTGTTAGTTTTCCCTTTGGTTTCCAAGATCGTAAAACAATGGAGAGTTTAAACATAGTTAGCTTTATATTATTAGTTACTAGCATATTGTAGCTGAATAGTCGCTTTCATTTGCTTTTTGTTGTACAAATTTTTGGTTTCTCTTTTGCAGTCAACGACTGACAAATGAAGACCAGTGGAAGGAACTGACCCAATACTTTGGGAGCAATGATAGGTTTGAACCACTTGTCAGCAAGAAAGCTCCCCAAAAGGTGATTGTTCAGTTTTGTTATAAAATATGAAGATACATTTTACCAAGAGACAAATTTAGCTAACACCAAATAAGTCAGGCCTTGATTGACAGTGAAAAAGTAATCATATTTTTGTTGGAGAGAATTCTGTTCACATGCACTTGTAATATTTTATTTAATGAACAATTTTTTCTCCTTCCCATTGATGAAATGAGTATGAATTTCCAGTTCTCTTGTTCTTTTGCTGTGAAATAATAAAGGAGTTGTATGTATTTGGTTTGACTAGGGAAATTTTCTTTAATTTTTAAAATGTGTCAATTGTTATCTGTAACAGTTCTATTTTTTTCAGTCTTGAGCTACATATATTAATTACCTAAAAATGATATTCTCTTTCTGAAATGGCTCTTTATTATTAACCCATTCATGTTCATAAAATCTCTCATCACAAGGGCAAAGTCGTCTTAGCAACTCTTTGCACTTGCTATCATTAGTAATGTCTCTTTTTCAAAACCTATTTATTTTTATGTCCTTCATGGTGGTTTGTTCAACAGTATGGTAATGCACAGTATAAGCAACTTTATAAAATTGCATGGCATTATAGTTGATCTAGCTTTCTTTTCCTCCTCAGAAGCCAGTGCGAGACTGTTCCCAGTTTTTTCTACTTGTGCAATCTGTATCCCATATTCCAGGCTAAGTGACACTGGGTACATCTACACATTCATTAATGCACCTTACATACTGTGCATTTAGTTTAATACTTGCTTAATAAAGTACTAACGAAATGCACACTAACTAGAGTTACTGTGCAGTAGTGCTGGCACATGGTTATTTTGTGACTCTTACTGCGCATTAGCCTAATACAGGGGTTTTCAACTTTTAAAAATAAATGTACCCCTGGTGGCTGAGCGGGGGGAGGGGCGGTAGTGATTAGTGCGCAGCTGGACACAGAGCAGTGACATGGGCTGGTGGATGGTGGTGGCTGCTGCCACTTGCAAGCTGCGCCTCTTTCCCCCTGCCATCTAGGTGGCACCTATGTGGCCCACAGAGGGGGACCACTGCCCTCACCCCACCCTAGTCCTGGTCCTAGTCCTGGTCCTGGTAGGCACTGACGCAGGGTGGTGGGTGGTGGCGCTCCATCCCCACCCACCTGTGTGTACCCCGTAGGGCCTTCCCAAGTTCTCCCGGGAGTACGTATACCCCCAGTTGACAAACCCCTGGCCTAATAACACTGCCAAAGGCTATTGGTGTAGTTTTTAACTGCTACGTTACTGCGCAGTGTTATTAGGCTAATGTGGATTATGCATCTCATGTAGACCCACCTACTGACTACTTTGAGGAGTTGTTACAGGCAAATATTTACTTAACTCCATATTTAATTGACATTCTAACCCTGCACCTAGTAACTCAAGGAGGATCTGGGTGGTGGCCTAAGTTAATATAATGTGGAGACTCCTCCTGAGTTGCTGACAAGTTGCTGATTGGCTCTCTATTAATTGTGTAATCTTCAGACAGAATTGGCTACTGCCATGACTTCAAAATTTTTGGTTATATTTTTCTTTTCTGACTCATGTCTTTAATGTAATGAAACAGAGGAAAATATCCACTTATGAAATTTGTTAATAGTAAACAAATGGAGTCTTTTTGCCTTTGTCTTTCAGACAGAATTAGTAAATGGACTAGCTTAGATTTCAGACGCGCATACTTCAGTAGTTACCTCCTATTAAATCAAAAAAGTAATCTTTTTGACTGGAAAATAAGATTGGGCTTGAAACAATTTGCTTATGACAAACCTTCTTGTTTCCACTTCTGTATTTCCTCAAGTACTACAGGAAATATGCACTTTTGATTTTTTTTTTTTTTTTAAGGACACAAGTGAGTTACCATCATTAGTAGTTGGTACCTCTTTCGTAAACATTATCTTTAAACAAGCTAGAATTTGCCTTGGTAACTAATGTACCTTATTTTCAGCAACTGGAAAAATAATCTAAAATATTATGTTTCATTTTACACATGACTGTCTGAATACTTGGGTTTATTCGTACAGTAAAGTGATGTCATGCCAGAAATCATTTTTCATCTGGTGGTAAAATCTGAGATTTGTAATGATACGTTTCTAGTTACCGTTCTTTGTTTAACCAGACATATACGTTTGTCATTTAATTTTACGACGCTCTGGGGATGGAATAGGCCAAACTTTATCTGAAGATTTGACTTACTGTGACGGGCATAAACTGGTCCATATAAATATATATTAAAATAAATATATATGTATTTGTATACATGTGTGTCTATACATATGCTTGTGTAATATATGTATGGTGTGTGTACATAGATGATATGTACAGACACACTGCATTTGTTCAGTCTTGTATATACAGTAAATACCCTCAATCTTGCGTATACAGTAAATATGTGCTTGTGTGTATACACATATAAAAGTACATGAAATATGTATAAAAATAAAAGCCCAGTTTATTTACTCAAATATATATATATTTGTGTGTGTGTGTGTGTGTGTGTGTGGGTGTGTGTGTGTGTGTGTGTGTGTGTATATAGATAGATAGATACACGCACACACACACACTGATATGATTTAACTAATAAAACAGTTTGTTCTCAGGCTTTTCGGTGCATATTTAATTATATTGTCCATTACAACATGTTTTATTTAGATATATACAGGTTTAATATAAGTAAGAATTTTTATTAAACATTTCTGAAATATACTAGAGAAGTTCCATCTAGAAATCCTATTTCTGCATTCAGTTAGCCTGAAGATGTTTCCCTTTTTTCTTTTTTCTTTTTTTTCTTTTTTCCAGTCTGGCCTTGAAGTCAGTGTTGACAAGTCTGTGGCTGAAGGGGACATTGAGAAAGCTGAGGAGCTGAGTGATAGGTTAGCCGTTCGTGAGGTAAGTGCACGTTATTAAGTACTGCCTCCTAGAAGCCTTTTAAGTGTGTGTGTGTGTGGTGTGTGTGTGTACAGAGCATTATAATGTAGCCAAATACTGTAAAAGGTTGTTCCTGGCTCTCTCTGCTTTGACTTGTTAAATACGTTTTTTTTCAACTGCAAAATGACTATGGCTATGAATCTAGCTCTAGGACTGTTTGTATAAGTGTAGGTATTACTCAAGCCTTTGAAAATAAAGGTATCATAAGGAGGCTGAAAACTTAACTTTGAAAGACTCATCCCAAACAAACAACTTCTTGTACAGGCCTAGTAGTGCCTCCACCACTATGACAAACTAATCCATAATAATCCTGAATCTGATTGGGGTTTTTTTTTTCCCCCCATCAAAAATATTCTTAAAAAATTTCTGACAGAATGCACTTTTTTTTATTAATGCCCTGTACCTCAAACTTTGCGTCTTGTACCTGAACAAAATGTTTCTGTAGCTTTAGAAGTGTTGAAGAGATTTTTATATAAATTGACAGACTTTAATATTTCAAGAACATATCTGAAAATTGGCATTGTTCAGAAACCCTACATTTTAGCTAGGCTGTCTTTCATGTATGCTGGGGTGTCCAAATAATTTTATGAAGGTTGGGTTGCTCTTTATAAAATGAATTTGTGCAACAAGTTCTTCTATGCAGACAGGCTCTGAATGAGTGCATTGGGACTCTTGAATGGGAGCATGGATTTACCCATGCAGAACTCATTCTGAGGTTTTTCTTTTCTCTTCGTAGCAAAATCTGGATTGTGCAAGGAGGATCCCTTTACTCTGGTGGGGGCAAGATATTGTTTTTTATTGTGGGAAAGCATGTTTATTGTAACTAATTGCCATAGGAAAGAGTTCAGTTACACAGTCAGCAGGGCCAAAACATGAATGTTATGCCCCATACAAACACTCAAGCAACCATCTCCTATTCCCCTCTAGACTTTTGATATATAAGAATTCTTTTCTTTTTTTTTAAAAAGGAAAAAGGAAATGCTTTTATAAAATACTGCTTCTCTGCATAGTTCCACCAGTTCATTACGTCTCTCACCTCCAAATGCTAGAAACTTATGGGAATGGCTTGAGTCAAACACAGATAGATACAGACTGAGTTGTAGTATAGGGTCTGCTAAATCACTGGTAGACTCTTTCTTTTTCTGTAGACTCGATGTTGAACTTTATTCATGAGCAGTGATGTACAGGGATATGAAAAATCAGCTGAGTTCTCTTTGGGGTACAGCCCCCTTGCAGCCATGTAAAATATGTGTTCAGTGGGTGGGTTTTCTTTTGGAAATCAGGTGTGTGAGGGTTTAATCAGCACCATTTTCTTTTTGCAAGAAGCAGTGACTGGAACCTGCTGATAAAGCCTTTGCTTTGAGGCACAGATCCCAGAGTTCTTAAAGCTGTTTCCTGCCTTAATAAGTGAAACTAATTTTTGATGTATAACATTTATAAGCTTGTGAAACTGATAGGGCAGCTTCAGTGTTTAGAAAAATGAAGCCAAAAATAAATAGATGACTGAGAATAGGCAATGAAACCATGCCTTAAAAAGCAAAAGCTTGCCAAAATAATGCTATCATTATGACACAGTCAGAGAAGACTCTCCTTTTTTTTTTTTTGGTGAAATCAGATTCTCTTAAAATCAGAGTGACTGGAGCAGTGTGCATAATCTCAAGGCTGACTGTATGGATCACTGAAATGTACATACCTAAAACCTGAATGGTTCGGTTGCATGACTTTTTTTGCCATGTAACGCTTGTTGCAAGGTGCTGTAGGATACGTGTTGTCAGGTTATATTGCTGCAAATGAGTTTAGAGAGTCAATGTTGTTAACCACCTTTAATGCTATGAAGAAAGTGCACATGTTAAGAAGTGGTTTTAACAATTTTACATGCACTTTTTTGTTGCATTAACCTAGGGTGCTGAATTGTTGCAGGCTGGTAGTTGCAACAATTGGATTTCTTTCACTTTCAGGCTGTTTTATAGCTTTATAGACCTGCTAATTCAGATCTTGTGTGTATTTAAAAGGAATATTCAGTTGTACAGCATGCCTGAGTTTTATCTTGATCTACACTGTTGTGCATTGTGGCAGGTGTACAGTTAGGAAAGTGATAGTTTTTCAATTTGGTGTTCAGTACACAAGGAACAATGTACAAAGAGGAGATAGATGTATGCATCGTAGGTAGTGATATGCTATGCTATTTAAAAAATAACTGGGGAAGTAGCAAATTAATCAAATTTTAAAATCTAGTTTTGCCATTAGAGTTGCTTCAGTTTCCA